ATGGTGTAATAATAATTCTCCACATCTGTCCCGACACAATGTACAAAATATAATTTTGAAAAAGCTAACAGTTACAAAACAGCACACACAAAAACCAACAGAAGACAAGTTTTTAAAGCATACAAAATTGACACCCACTGCAAAGACCTTTTCATCCAGCTGGCAAAGTTGGACAGAACAAAAAAATGTTCCCTATTGTATCTCAACAGGGATGCTGTTCCACAGAACAGGAGCAGACACCATTAAAAGCCCTGCTCTAAATAATTGGGGGGTGTGGACTCTCACTGGCTTGAGCAGGGGTCAGCAACCTAAGGCCCATGAGCCAGAAGGGGCCCACAGAGGCCGTTTAACCGGCCCACGAACCGCCCCCAAACCAAGCCGCCCACTCGGCGAGTCCCCATGCACTGCACTAAACCAGTGCAGCACGGCACAGGGACTCTCTTCCGTAGCTCTGGAAATCACTTCTGCGCATGCCCAGACACTGAAAATCATGGGATTGATCGAACCCATGCTCAGTAAGCCTTGCCGACCCCGGTCTTCAGTCTATCAATGGTCTACAGGGGATAAAGTGGTCTTTCAAGTATCACAGAATAGTAGGGTTTGCTGGGAGTCCTACAGTCATCTTGTCCAGCCTCCTGAAGAATCCCTGAAAAATAGCCATAATAATAATAATAATAATAATAAATTATTTATACCACACCCATCTGGCTGGGTTTCCCCAGCCACTCTGGGCAGCTTCCAACAGAACACTAAAATACAATAACCTATTAAACATTAAAAGCTTCCCTAAACAGGGCTGCCTTCAGACGTCTTCTGAAAGTCTGGTAGTTGTTTTTCTCTTTGACATCTGGTGGGAGGGCGTTCCACAGGGCGGGTGCCACCACTGAGAAGGCCCTCCGCCTGGTTCCCTGTAACTTGGCTTCTCGCAGCAAGGGAACTGCCAGAAGGACCTCAGCACTGGACCTCAGTGTCCGGGCAGAACGATGGGGATGGAGACGCTCCTTCAGGTATACAGAACCGAGGCCGTTTAGGGCTTTAAAGGTCAGCACCAACACTCTCTTTAAAAACCTCCAGTGAAGGAGAGTCCTGCACCTTCTGAGGGAGTCTGTTCTGTTGCCGAAGATCTCCTAACATCAGAAAGTTCTTCCTGATGTTTCGTTAGATTCTCCCTTCTTGTGACTTGAAACCATTGGTTCGAGTCCTACCCTCCAGAGCAGGAGAAAACAAGCTTGCTCCATCCTCCATGTGACAGGCCTGAAGGATTTTTAGCAAAGGTTGGGTAGCCATCTGTCATGGATGGTGAACTGAGATTCCTGCATCGCAGGGGGTTGGACTAGATGTCCCTCGGGGTCCCTTCCACTTCTGAGGTTCTCTGATTCTCTACCTACATCTGGAACTTGGCCTTTCAGCAGATTGGCAGCCAATGCAAATCTCTCCAGCAAGGACTTGTATGCTGGCAGTAGTTTGATGCCACAAGCAACCTTACCACTGCATTCTGCACCAGCTGCAGCCCCCAGACAACTTCAAGGGCAGCCCCACATAGAGGGCATGGTAGTAATCCAACCATGGTTGGACAACTTGGGCCAAGCTACCCCAATCTAGGAACATCTGTAGCTGTCTTACCATTCAGATTTGGTCAAAGATGCTGTCAGTTTGCATTTCTTAGCACAGAAAGTACAGTGGTGCCCCGCAAGACGAATGCCTCGCAAGACGAAAAACTCGCTAGACGAAAGGGTTTTGCGTTTTTTGAGTCGTTCCGCAAGAAGAATTTCCCTATGGGCTTGCTTCGCAAGACGAAACGTCTTGCGAGTTCTTGCGAGTTTGTTTCCTTTTTCTTAAAGCCGCTAAGCCGTTAATAGCCACTAAGCCGCTAAGCCGCTAATAGCCGCTAAGCCGCTAATAGCTGTGCTTCGCAAGACGAAAAAACCGCAAGACGAAGAGACTCGTGGGACGGATTAATTTCGTCTTGCGAGGCACCACACTATTGATCTGATGTGTAGAGATCTTTTGTATTCTACTTGATTCAAGAGGGTTCTGGGAGCTTCTCCGTGTGAGAGAAGCAAGCCGAAGGTTTGTGATATTTGGGTTATTCCTTCAGAGAAGCTGACTACAGCTGGGTTGAACTGGTCCTGTTATCTCTTCTGTCAAGGTCATTCTGACAATAATAGGCCAGAAGGAGCCGGGGTTTCACTTTCTCTTTCTATCTCTTTTCCTCCTGGTGTGGTGTTCTGTACATAGTGTTAGGGTTTAATCTTATTATAAGTTATTGTAAATTTAAGTTAAGTCTACTGCAACTGGATTTCTTATGGACAGTGCCAATCCTGAATGTGCAGCCATACCTTGGGTTGAAGTAGCTTCAGGTTAAGTATTTTCGGGTTGCGCTCCGCGGCAACCCAGAAGTAACGGAGCACGTTACTTCCGGGTTTTGCCACTCGTGCATGTACATACGCTCAAAATGACATCACGTGCATGTGCGGAAGCGGCGAAACGCGGCACGCGCCTGTGCAGTCGCGCAGTCGCGTGTTACGTTTACTTCAGGATGCCAACAGAGCTCTGGAACGGATCCCGTTCGTATCCAGAGGTACCACTGTACTGGATTTGTGACCATTATGCTCATTTGCCTTCAGTAGCAATACAGCTCTGCTGGATAAAATACAATTGCCTCTGGCCTATTTTTGGGACTCCTGCAATGTGTTTAAGTTTTTACTCTGCTAACTATACATTGGAATCTGCTCTGGATCAATACTGAGTAGAATTGCAGGACAGGCACTCCTATCCATCTAAGAAACCTGGACCTGCGGTGATCAAGACGTAAGAAACCTCAAGCTTGTGGACCACATGTGGCCTGCCCAGCCTTTCTCTCGGATCATTGGGCCTCTTCTCCTGAAGCACGTGCAGAGCACCCAAGGCAGAATTGTGTGAATCAGAAGCATCCCTTTGTATCCTGCAATCTCCAGTGCTTTTATTTATGGGTACAGCTGAGTAATGTACCATCTCCTCCTTACACACACAAACACACACCTCCTCCTCGTCCCTCCCTTCTCCTCATCCCTCCTCTAGAATTACAGCAGCACTTATGGGGAGAAAGTACAGAAACCTTAAAGAATAATGGCTAGTTTGCAACGATGGGATTTATTTGAGTCCAGATGGTTATCCTGTATAAAATACAGCATCTGCTCGCAATTGCTTAAGAGAGATTTAAAGCTGTGGAGTCTTGCAGGCAGGGCCCTGGAACTGGAGAATCTGTAATGCTTTCCTGGCCGAGGTCCCAGGCAGCGCATAAGAACATGGGAAGGCAGGCTGCCGGATCCAGCCAGTAGCCCATTGAGTCCAGCATCCTGTTCTCGCATTGGTGCTCCAGGCACCTTTGGCAAAGGCACCTTATGGCAGAGATGGGCTCATAGAATTATGGAGAGCTGGAAGGGACCCCGGGGTCATCTAGTCCAACCCCCTGCAATGCAGGAATCTCTTGACCAAAAATGGGGCTCAAACCTGCAACCCTGAGAAGGGCACCAACTAGAATAAAATGTGGGGCCCAGGTAAGCCCCGCTCCACATGGTCGATCACATGACACAGTGCACACACACACACACACACACACACACCCCATTTGAAAAGGAATGCCCATCAACTTCGTGGGGGCTCGGTCCCTTTAAATATTTTATTGTGGGGACTGAAGCCCCCACAGCCTCTAGGACAGAGGTTCTCAACCTGTGGGTCCCCAGATGTTGTTGGACTACAACTCCCATCATCCCTGAGCTCTGGCCTTGCTAGCTAGGGGTGATGGGAGTTGTAGTTCAACAACATCTGGAGACCCACAGGTTGAGAAAGGCTGCTCTAGGAGTTGGTTTACATGACCCTGAGATTAAGAGTCTCATGCTCAAGATGGGAAGAAGACAAAGTCCCTACTGGACAAGAATGGCAAATCAAAATGTAAGCCTTTGCCAGTGTGGTGTAGTGGTTAAGAGCGGTGGACTCGTAATCTGGTGAACCGGGTTCGATTCCCCGCTCCTCCACATGCAGCTGCTGGGTGACCTTGGGCTAGTCACACTTCTCTGAAGTCTCTCAGCCCAACTCACCTCACAGAGTGTTTGTTGTGGGGGAGGAAGGGAAAGGAGAATGTTAGCTGCTTTGAGATTCCTTCGGGTAGTGATAAAGCGGGATCTCAAATCCAAGCTCTTCTTCTTCTTCTTCTCTGCCAAAATGGCAAAACTGACCGGAAAAGCTCACGAACCAAGAAGACCAAAATTTCAACAAAGAATGGGGGAAAATTATAAATTATCTTCAAGACCATTGTAAGCAGATGAAAACATTAGATGGATTCCAATAACACTTGTAATGTAGCAAGTAAGATAAAGGTAAAAGGACCCCTGACCATTAGGTCCAGTCGTGACCGACTCTGGGGTTGCAATGCTCATCTCGCTTTATTGGCTGAGGGAGCTGGCGTACAGCTTCCGGGTCATGTGGCCAGCATGCCTAAGCCGCTTCTGGCGAACCAGAGCAGCGCACGGAAACGCTGTTTACCTTCCCGCTGGAGTGGTACCTATTTATCTGCTTCCACTTTGACGTGCTTTCAAACTGCTAGGTTGGCAGGAGCAGGGACTGAGCAACGGGAGCTCACCCCGTCATGGGGATTGGAACCAGCAAGCCCTAGGCTCTGTGATTTAACCCACAGCGCCACCCGCGTCGCATAATGTAGCAAGTACTATGGAGTTAATGGAGTTATATAAAACATGGACTATTGAAAACAATGCAGTAGAAAAAGTATAATAACAAGGATCCACGGAGAGTAAGGTGGGAAGTCAAGAGATTGGGAAGAATTTTTAAACTGTTGGTGTGTATGGTTGTATTGTTATGGTTTTATATTTGTAAAATAAAATTCAAAAAAAGAGAGATTCACATGCTCTACTGACTGAGCTATCCCAGAAATCAGGGACAGGGAACTGCGTCTGACTGGAGGGTTGTACCCACTGATGTCCAATCCCGTGGGCAAGAAAAATCTACAGGGAGAAAGCAACCCACAGAACTGGGGAAGGGTATTTTTCGCCTTCGGAGTGGGCGGGGGATATATTCCCATCTTTGGCAGGTATTGGAGTGTGCATTACACAGCCTGAGAACCAGCAGATGTCGGGTCCCAATTTCAAATGTCGCCTCGCATCCCATTTCCTGCTCCTGATGTATGAATAATGGAGTGTGCGGAGCTCTGGAGGTGAGGGAGCCTCCTTCCCTCGCAAACACTCTCGACAGACGCAATCTTTGCTAATTGCGACGCTGAGCTCGGCCAATTCTGTGGAGCAGGATGATGCTGCCAAGCAAGCTTGAGCCATCTGTGCATCCTCAGCCATCGCGGGGCAGGTGGACGTGTCTTTCGGGGCATTGGGAAGGCCCCTGGCTTGGCAGCAGAACATCTGCTCTGCACGCCGAAGGTCGCAGGTTCAATCCCCGAGACCTCCCGTTAAAACCAGGGCCACGGCCAATTTTTGCGAGGCTCTCTTTTTCCACAGCAAGAAGTGCTGATTTGGGTACAGTTTCCTCTCAAAGAGCAGCGCTTCCTTAGGAAAAGCCACCTTTCCCTGCAAAATCACCCCTTTCTCTCTTTGCAGGCGGTTTGTCAAGAGAGTGAGAAGGTCTGGTGTGTGGAACGGCTGCTTTGCAGGCAGGGGTGGGAAAGAAACTGGGTTCGGTTTGCATTTTAGAGCAAACCCCCCTCATGTGTGCTTTCTGAAGCAGTATGCCAGCCTGAAACACAGGCATTGCTTCCAACTCTGGCATTTCTCTGGATTTTTCGATGGAGTTTCCCAACACAGAAATGTATATTTTGGGCAGAGCCATAGCTACGGGGGGGGGGGCTAGTCAGGTGTTTTGCCCCAGGAAAGGGGCACCATTGAATCTCCCATTCTGTCTGTGCATATGCGGGGGGGGGGGACCACGCCACACCGACTCTTTTCTTTGACCCAGGTAAAATAAAGCTTGGTTTCACTCCTGTATTGGACAAAAGTGTGCACAGGAATATTTTTAGGTGAGAGGGTGTTCAAAAATTCATTATATCTGGGGGGGAAATGTCTTGCCCTGAATGCATATGGTAGACAAAATTATGTAGAAGAATGTGTCTGTTCGGAGAAACATGCCCAAAATGCCTATTATTTATTTATTTATACATACATACATACATACATACCCTGCCCATCTGGCTGGGTTTCCCCAGCCACTCTGGGCAGCTCCCAACCGAATACTGAAAACACAATACAGCATCAAACATTAAAAACTTCCCTAAACAGGGCTGCCTTCAGATGTCTTCTAAAAGTCAGATAGTTGTTTATTTCCTTGACATCTGATGGAAGGGCGTTCTGCAGGGCAGGCACCACCACCGAGAAGGCCCTCTGCCTGGTTCAGGTATACTTCAGGTATACTGGGCCAAGGCTGTTTTGGGCTTTAAAGGGCAGTACCAGTACTTTGAATTGTGCTCAGAAATGTACTGGGAGCCAATGTAGGTCTTTCAGGACCAGTGTTATGTGGTCTCGGTGACCACTCCCAGTCACCAGTCTAGCTGCCGCATTCTGGATTAGTTGTAGTTTCCGGGTCACCTTCAAAGGTAGCCCCATGTAGAGCGCATTGCAGTAGTCCAAGCAGGAGATAACTAGAGCATGCACCACTCTGGCGAGACAGTCCACGGGCAGGGAGGGTCTCAGCCTACATACCAGATGGAGCTGCTAGACAGCTGACCTGGACACAGAATTGACCTGCCTACAGATACACACATGGACATATATATATATATATATATTGATTGATTGATTGATTGATTGTCATGGACTGGCTAAATGGAGAGGAATGGTGGGAGGCACCAGCTGGGCAACCCCCGCAGGAAGAAGGCTCAGAACCAATGAACTGGTTGTGGGATAGCTATACATGGTTAGAGGGAGAAGACTGGAGGTGGTATTGGAAGCTCAAGAGGCAACAGGGTTTGGTGAGCAGAGAGACTCTGTGACAGAGAGAAGTCCAGAATCAGAGGCAGAAGTTGGAGAGGAGGGAGCCCAAGAGGCAGAGATGAGTCAGGCTGGTGAAGAAGCCAGGGGTTATCCCCCCTCCTGCTGCGACCACCTTCCCACCCACCCCCAGTCTCCCAGAACCAGAAGAGGTATGAAATGGGAGGAGCAAAGACAGACACAATGATGTAGTCTCAGATTGCAAGAGGAGCACCCAGGGGAGGAGGGGACTTAGACAACTGTAGGGAGGCGGGGACCTTCGGTCCACACACCTGCCCCATAGGGGCAAGATCTACTGGGACAAGTTACTGTGCTCACCACGCCTGGCTTCCTGAGTCAACCTTGCTTCCTTTACTAAAGAGTTAACTTCACTTATGCTGTGTGATTTATTGCTGGTCTGCCCCTGACACTAATTTATCAGTCAGTTCCTGGTGTGTGTGTGTGTGTGTGTGTACACATACACATCAGAAACAGATGCATGAATTGGAACTGGGTGAGCTGAAGATTGGAGAAATGAATACATTTCAGAATCTCTCATTATTCCATCCTTACTTGAAAGGAGGCGACAATTTACCTCAGTGCTCATACATTCCCCTGACAGATGACCAAAGCCCCACTTTTTGCAGGAGGCAAGAGATTTTGCAAAAGGGGAATCCTCCAAACTAGTCTTCCTCCTGGAACCTTAGAGAACTGCAGACCAATCATATCCGGATACCCAGTCTGGTTAGACTCCATTTCCCATCACCATCTCGGCTCATTGGTCATGCTGGCTGAGGCTGATGAGTGTTCGGAATCCAGCAACGCCTTGAGAGCTCTGCTTTGGCTACCACTGGAGCAGATGGGCCATCAATCTGAGCTGCTGTAATGCTTGATATGGTCACGTGTGCAAGAGAGGCGGAAAGGAACTTTCCTGTGTTTCTGGAGCAGAGACATCATTAGCCCAGAGGTTCCAGGCAGTGAAATTAGCACATTTCAGAAGCTCCGCATGCATCATTGAGAGAGAAACAGATTGAACTCCTTAGGGTTTGCAGTTAAACTTTGCCAGGGTTTCTGCTCCCGTTAAAGGAGTCAGGTGTGTGATTCTAGCCTTCTCGCTTTAAAAATAAAATAAAATAAGAAGCTGAGCTAGGCAAGATAACTTGAACCAGAAAGAGAAGGCCTGGGATGCGTGATCTAAGTTCAATCATTCACCTTAGAGCCTTGAGATGCCACAGCAAAGCACCTCTACACCACCAGCAGAATAAAACCTTCATGCAGGGAATCCAGAGGTTGAAAGATCTTCAACAAGTGCAGAAGCTGTGCTCAAAGACGTCCCGCCAGGGAGAACTAGAGATGGAGGAGACATCCCAAAACAATTTGCGAATTGAGGCACAACCTTATCCTTCGAAACTTGGACTTCTCCAAATTTGGCAATGCAGTTCTCCAGCCAAGTGAAATGTGCAGAAAAAGGCACTTAGCAGGGGAAAGTGTGCATGGAATGCATGTGTTCTTGACAATGGCATACAAACTGCATTGTATTTGGGGAATTGCTTTGCAAAAATGTGTATACAGTGGACTCTCGGGTTGCAAACGTGATCCGTGTGGGAGACACATTCGCAACCCGCAGCACCACATCTGCACACACGCAGGTTGCGATTTGGTGCTTCTGCGCATGCACAAAAGTGAAACCTGGAAATAACCCATTACGGTACTTCCAGGTTTTGGCACGTCCGTAACCCAAAAATGCACAACCTGAAGCATCTGTAACCTGAGGTATGACTGTATTAAGCAAATTTGTCTGCAAAAATGTGTATATTAGGAAAAATTCTGATGAATTCTCACAAGGGCTGTTTTTCTAATAAAAATATTCAGAGACGGAAGTGAAAATGTGGAGAATTGACATGGGGGGAGGCAAGAAGGAACTGAGAGAAACTGAAATTGATGCAGCAACATAAAAGAAGAAGCCCTAATGCTATTCTAGGCTGCGTCAACAGAATTCTAGTGTCCAGATCAAGGGAAGCAATAGTCCTACTCTATTCTGCCTTGGTCAGACCACACCTGGAATACTGTGTCCAATTCTGGGTACCACAATTGAAGAAGGATGTTGACAAGCTGGAAGATGTACAGAGGAGGGTGACCAAGATGAACAAGGGTCTAGAAAGCACGCCTTATGAGGAACGGTTGAGGAAGTTGGGTGTGTTTAGCCTGGAAAAGAGGAGACTGAGAGGAGATACGACAGCCATCTTCAAATATCTGAAGGGCTGCCACATGGAAGAGGGACCATGCTTGTTTTTTCCTGCTCTGGAGGTTGGACTTGAACCAATAGCTTAAATTACAAGAAAGGAAATTCTGACTAAACATCAGGAAGACCTTTCTGATGGGAAGAGCTGTTTGACAGTGGAAGGGACTTCCATGAAAGGTGGTGGATTTTCCTTCCTTGGAGGTTTTTCAGCAGAGGTTGGATAGCCATCTGTCATGGATGCTTGAGTTGAGATTCCTGCATTGCAGGGGGTTGGACTAGCTGTGTAGTTGTGTAGTTCTTGATCTCCTTGACATCTGATGGGAGGGTGCTCCACAGGAAGCGTGGAAGGCTACCGAGAAGGCCCTCTACCTGGTAATTATTATTATTATTATTATTATTATTATTATTATTATTAATACCCCGCCCATCTGGCTGGGTTTCCTCAACCACTCTGGGCGGCTTCCAAATGAATATTAAAAACAATACAGCATCAGACATTAAAAACTTCCCTAAACAGGGCCGCCTTCAGTTGTCTTTTAAAAGTAAAATAGTTGTTTATTGCCTTGACATCTGGTGGGAGGGCGTTCCACAGGGCGGGCTCCACTACCGAGAAGGCCCTTTGCCTGGTTCCCTGTAACCTCACTTCTCACAGTGAGGGAACCGCCAGAAGGCCCTCGGCACTGGACCTCAGTGTCCGGGCTGGACGATGGGGGTGGAGAGGCTCCTTCAGGTATACAGGACCGAGGCCATTTAGGGCTTTAAAGGTCAACACCAACACTTTGAATTGTGCTCAGAAACGTACTGGGAGCCAATGTAGGTCTTTCAGGACCAGTGTTATATGGTCTCTGCGGCCGCCCCCACTCACCAGTCTAGCTGCCGCATTCTGGATTAGTTGTAGTTTCCAGGGCACCTTCAAAGGTAGCAGTAGTCCAAGCAAGAGATAACTAGAGCATGCACCACTCTGGTGAGACAGTCCATGGGCAGCTAGTGTCTCAGCCTGCGTACCAGATGGAGCTGATAAACAGCTGCCCTGGATACAGAATTAACCTGTGCCTCCATGGTTCTCATGAATGTGTCCATTTCTCTCTTAAAGGCACCTAATTTGCTGACCATCACTGCCTCTTCTCACACCCTGACTTGTGTTTCTGCAAGCAAGCGGTGAGGGCAGAAATGAACTTTGGTCTTTCAAATTTCATCAGCGACCTGCGCGAGGTGAGAATTCGGTGTCCCTCTGCCTCCCACCCTCTGTTCCACTCAATTCACCACGTCAGAGTTGTGGGGTCCTGCTGCACCCCCTAAGCCCCCAAGTGTGGTGGAATTGGACGTGCTGCCCTAAATCTGCCTCTTTGAAGGGCAAGGCGGTTGTTTCCCCCAGGCAGCGCTGCAAAATTGGGGCAGAGGGTTCTGCATGTCCTGTAAAACTGCATTGTGGGGCCATTTGCCCCTTTCGTTCCCCGTGTCTGCTCAGGGAACTGTTAAAGACAGCTGCCAGACACAGAGAGAGAGAAGCCAGATGTGGTAAGAACGACAGCGGCAACACTTGTAATAAATCTCCACAGTGCTAATGAAAGCAAACGTAAAAGAAACTGGCAATGCAAAACCCCTCTGGAAGCTGCCAGCAGGGCTGGCATCATAAGAACATAAGAAGACCCCGCTCTTCATCAGGCCAATTGCCCATCTAGTACAGCGATGGTCAGCCTCTGTGAGACCAGCAAGCAGGATTAGAGCACAAAAGCCCTTCTGCCCTCCCACAGCTTTTCTTAGACTCACAGAATCAAATAATCGTGAAGGGTGGAAGATTCAGGACAGATTAAAGGAAATAGTTCTTCACACAGTGCAGAGTGAACATGTGGAACTCCCTCCCACTGGAGGAAGTGATGGCCTAGACAGCTTTTAAAAAGGATTAGACAAGTTCATGGAGGAGAGGGCCATTAATGTCTACCAGCTATGAAGGCTATAGGCTCTGGCTTCACAGCTAGAGGAAGCAAAGCTTCTGAACAGAAAACCACAGAAACCACAGAAGGGGAGATGGAGTCAGTATGGTGTAGTGGTTAAGAGCGGTGGACTCGTAATCTGGTGAACTGGGTTCGACTCCCCACTCCTCCACATGCAGCTGCTGGGTGACCTTGGGCCAGTCACACTTCTCTGAAGTCTCTCAGCCCCACTCACCTCACAGAGTGTTTGTTGTGGGGGAGGAAGGGAAAGGAGAATGTTAGCCGCTTTGAGACTCCTTAGGGTAGTGATAAAGCGGGATATCAAATCCAAACTCCTCCTTCTCCTCCTCTTCTTCTTCTTCTGCGCAAATTCTGCTTGCTGGTTTCCCACAGGGAACGATTTGGCCACTGTGAGGATGTCAGACTAGATGGGACACTGGTCTGATCCTGCAAGCTCTTCTGAGGCCCTTATGTTAGAATTGTAGAGTTGAAAGGGACTCTGAGAGTCATCCAGTCCAACCCCCCTGCAACACAGGAATCACAGCTAAAGTATCCCTGGAATATGGTCATCCAACCTCTGCTTGAAAACCTCCAAGGAAGGAGAGTCCACCACAGTCTGAGTTAGTCCATTCTCAAGTGGTAGAGTTCAAGCATTGCATGCAAAAGGGCCCAATGTTCAGTCCTCCACAGGGCTAAGAATTTCTGTTTCAGAAATTAAACAGGGTCTGCCAGTAGCAATGGACAGAACCATTAATTAATTAATTACTTGCCAGTGCAGGTCTTATTCCTAGAATGACAGAAGAAGAAGAAGAAGAAGAAGAAGAAGAAGAAGAAGAAGAAGAAGAAGAAGAAGCCACCAAGCATGTGCAGAGTGTCTTTCCACCAGGGGTTGAACACATTTTTCCCCAGGTGATCTGCAAAAAAATCAGCTTTTCCTGAGATGCAATAATATGGCAAAGTTTCACCTTGAAGGCACAGGATGCCATCAATAGGGGGAGAGGTTGGGCTCCCTATTCACCACTGAGTAATGTCCCACCTGCAAAGGGATTTTTTTGGGAGAGGACCTCCAGATGCAAGGAGATTCTTCAAAGCAGTCCTGTCACCTTTCTCCTTCAGAAATTAAGTGTGGCTCTTTTAAAAGTCAGTAAAGGAAAAAAGAAAAAGAAAAAACTTTCAATTCGCAGGGTGCCATAAGTCTGCCCAGAAGGGGAAGAAAAATCCGTTCTGTCAGAACTTCATTTCTATTCCATCTCTCTCGGTGTTATCATCTGCATCTTTGCTGACTTTAGCTGGAATTCTGCCTTCCTCTCAGCCTAAATCAAATTTCCTCCTTCTGCAGAAGAAATGGTTGGGTGGCTCAAGGTTGTGCCTTAAAGATTATCCACAACAAATTGGATCCTGCTTAACCAACTTGTGGCCGCGAGTGAAGCAGGAAGGTGGGTGACAGGGTACGTCAAGGGCATGGGTGCAAAGGATCCCTCTCTGGGGTACAGAGATGTCTGGACATGCGCCTCCCCCCTGCCCACCTCCAGGAGAGGAATTTCACAAGATTTGCTGAAAGCAGTTCTCTGCCAAATTCGTCTGGTGCATCTCCCTAGCAGGTCCCTCTGAGTAGACCTCACCTTTTTCTCTTACGTAGATACGCAAGAAGAAAGGGAGCAGCCTTATCTCCCAAAAGGGTTGGGAATATCCCCAGTCCGAAATCCAAGATAGCTACTGCCATTCAGGGCCGGCCCACACATGAGGCAAGGTGAGGCAGTGGCCTCAGGCAGGAGATCCAGCCTCTGAGGAGCATGAGGGGTGGAGCTACAGTGTAGGAGGCTGGGTCTGCAAAAGAGGAGGAGGTTGTGGCGAACAGGGGGCATATTCTGCTTAGCCTGAAGCAGTGGCATAGCGTGAGTTGCCAGTGCCCCGGGCCACGTGGAGAGTGGGATTGAGGGAAACAGGTGTAGTACGCATGCACATTCAACTGCCTAAAGGTGTCCATGTCGTCCAGGAGATAAGAAAAGCCACAGAGATAAGAGAAGAAGAATCATTTGGTTGTGTAGAGAGGTCACTTCTTGGTTCGCACAGAGCAGCCTTTTTCAGCGGAGTCCAGTGAGGAAGAGCATAGCTGCACTGAGGCAGCACCAGGTGTTGAAATTTCACACCCCTAACAATTTTGCCCCTGGAGCAACCTCCCCTGTGTCCCCCACACCATGCTATGCCACTGGCCTAAAATGGCAAAACATCCTGCCCCCCCCCCGCTGCCAGTCAGTGTAGACCATGCTAGGCTAGATGAAACAATGATCTGACTCAATATAAGGCAGCTTCCTGGATCCTTCCATAGCTCAGTGGGAGAGCATCTGCTCTGCAGGCAGGAGACCCCAGGTTCAATCTCTGAACCTCCAGTTTCAGGACTCCTGCCCCAAACCTTCTAGAGCAGCTGCTATTCAGTGTGGATGATACTGTGCTAGATACTCAGGATGAGGCAACTGTTAGGATATTTCCGTTCCACCTTAAGAAGGGAGCAGGTTGTTGTGTCACAGCCTGCGTATTTCCTGTTCACAGGATGTTTCTGTTTTGCATATAGCTGTTGTTTCTCTGTCTCTGCGCCTGGACATTGAAGCAGGCAGTCATGTTTTTTCCTTTGTTCTGACCAACGCTGAATAAAGTTGTAAATAATGCTCTCCTGAGTGCATCTTTCGCTGTGCGAACTCTGCTGAAAGGGCGTGCACTAGTCTTGGAATGTGGCATGCTATTTCTGAGGCTTGTGTCGCTAATTGACTGATACTGCGTTTCTAAGGGAGATCGATGGATCGTCCGAGATCGGCGTGGGGGCATGATGGCCTTTGTCTCCCTGGCAGTATCCCAACAGCAACTCCCTATGTTCCTATGACAGAGCTCTGTTCAGTGGCGGCCAACTGACCATAGGGGGACACACTATCCTTGAAGGGCAGTTATCAGCCAGCCTAATAGTAGGGGTAGCCCTCCTTACATGGACAAATAGTGCAGTCTGCCCTTTTCACACAATCACCAAGGGCTGTGCAAATTGTGTGGCGGTACCTGTTCTTCTTTCTTTGGCAATCACTCGTAGCTGAGTAAGATTGTCTTCCATGAATATGGTCTTAACAGTGAGTCCGTAAGTGACTGTGGAGGCCAATTCTGGATATGCATGTTCTTCTACAGTGTGAACGTAGGTTTCTGGGCAGGAGTTGATCACAGTGAGGATTTGCCAAACATCCCTTCCTAATAGCTCTTTTCTCCCTTTTGTCCTGAGTTCCTCCTCCTCCTCCTCCTCCTCCTCCTCCTCCAACTATCTACCTATCTATCCATCTGTCTATAGAGTTGGAAGGGACCCTGAGAGTCATCTAGTCCAACCCCCAGCAACTCAGGGATCTCAACTAAATCATACATGACAGGTGACCATCCCACCTCTGCTTAAAAACCCCAAGAAAGGTGAGTCCACCACCTCCTGGGAAAGTGTTTTCCACTGCTGAGCAGCTCTTACCACCAGAAAGTTCTCCCTGATGTTTAGTCAGCATCCTCCATGCCCCACCCCACCCCAGTGCACAAACGCGTGTTCTGGGCACCGACAATCCATGCTATGCCACTGCCTCCTAACCCTGGCAGATTAACCCTAGGACCTTATTCATATAGCACATGTGCTCTGCCACTGAGCTACTTCCCAAAAACCAACGTTTGGGTGCACATTTACCACAGCTTGGCAACAAGCGGTGGATGCATTCTCCATTTTGTCAAGCCAATGTTCCCTTCAGTAATTTCCCCCGTTTAGATATTCCACCACGCCCAGAGTGATATACGCACACGGTGGAGAGGCCTAGATTGCAACGCTGGCTAAGACTGTTCTCTAATTGCTGTAATCTCTTGCCCATTAAATCTGATCGCTCTCTTATCAGCGTTAACAACTGATAATTAGGGAGGCAGTAATAGGGGTGTGTTTGCTTCAAAAGCCAGCACTTAATTCCATTTTTTTTAAAAGGCGAAGGAAAGAAGAAGAAGCCAAGAGACCCAAATCTCCCCAGAAGTAAAACCTGGCCGTGATTAGTCAAGATCCCATGGAATGGAGCCTCCAGGTTCAAGAAGTGAGTATCTGAGCTGCTCCACATTTTCTGCTTGTCTCATGCTGGTTCCCTGCAACCTCACTTCTCTCAGGGAGGGAGCTGCCAGAAGGGCCTCGGAGCTGGACCTCAGGGCTGAACGATGGGGGTGGAGACGCTTACTGGGCCAAGGCGATTCAGCTGTGATTCCTGCATTGTTGAGGCTTGGTCCCTTCCAACTCTATGATTCTACATACAAAGCATGGAGAAAGCCTAGAAAACACTAAGCGTCTGACTCAAGTACAAGGCGGCTTTCTCTGTCCCTGTTCCTCGTGAGTTTCCCAGCAGGGTCTGTCTGGCTGAAGTCAGGGAAGGAAGGCGAGACGGCGAGGAGAGGGGCTTTTTGTCTGATCCGGCAAAGGCAGCTCCTGTGATTGACAGATCTCTCCAAGTCTTGCCTACAGGGCTACAGTGAGAGAGAAGGAACCTGGAGGCATCTCTGCCCTTTCTGCAAAGCATCTCAGGGCCCACCTGCCGTCTTCCAAATTCCTCCTCCCTGCTTTTGCCCAAAGGGAGACAGCACTTCTGAGAGTGACATTATCCAGTCGTTTCCCCCGCTGGTTTTCAAGAGTTTTCTGCGCAAAGGAGGAGACCCCCCTCCCACCATGTGGCAGAGGCGTGTTGGGAGATGTTCGTTTGATCTTCTGCAGTCGGTCCTTAATTAAGCCGTCCCATAAGGAGCAGAATCAGAGAAGCTGCATCAGCAGGACAGCTCTTCACTTCCCTCTCCCCTGCTATGGTCCTCTTTCCAGCGCCTCTTCTCAAGGAATCTGCCAGAGGCTCCCTGCCTAAACCCCTTCAGTGTGGACTTCTGGGTCACAATCACACTGCTTTCCCCTTTCCAGGACAAACCCAGGTTCCGGGGAATTTGAAGGCTGTTCTTTGACTGCGTCAACCCAAACGGGTCTGGATCGGACAAGCCTTTGGCTGCAGGGCAGAGTCACAGAATTGCAGAGTTAGAAGAGACCCCAAGGGTCATAGAAACATAGAATTGTAGAGCTGGAAGGGACCCCTAGTTATCTCCCGCTTGGACTACTCCAATGCGCTCTACGTGTGGCTGCCTTTGAAGGTGACCCGGAAACTACAACTAATCCAGAATGCGGCAGCTAGACTAGTGACTGGGAGCGGCAGCCGAGACCACATAACACCGGTCTTGAAAGACCTACATTGGCTCCCAGTACGTTTCCAAGCACAATTCCAAGTGCTGGTGTTGACCTTTAAAGCCCTAAGCGGCCTCAGCCCAGTATACCTGAAGGAGTGTCTCCACCCCCATCATTCTACCCAGAAACTGAGGTCCAGCTCCGAGGGCCTTCTGGCGGTTCCCTCATTGCGAGAAGCAAATCTACAGGGAACCAGGCAGAGGGTCTTCTCGGTAGTGGCTCCCGCCCTGTGGAACGCCCTCCCATCAGATGTCAAAGAGATAAACAACTACCTGACATTCAGAAGACATCTGAAGGCAGCCCTGTTCAGGGAAGCTTTTAGTGTGTGACATTTCAGTGTATTTTTTGTTTTTGTTGGAAGCCGCCCAGAGTGGCTGGGGAAACCCAACCAGATGGGCGGGGTACAAATAATAAATTATTATTATAATCTAGTCTAACCACCTACAATTCAGGAATCCCTGCTAAAGGGTCTATGAGAATTGGACACTTTCATGTGACACATGCCATGAAGGCTATCGTTTCTGAATACCGGTTTCTGGAAACTACAGGAAGGAAGCGGACTCCGGAAGTTGGGTCCCTGTCAGGCTTCAATGAATTGGCTTCCTCTTCCACCCCACCCTTGGCAGTAGATAAGCAGAACAAAGTGAATGGAGTCTTCTTACCAGTTAGAATTCTTTAATGATCACAGCAAGGGATAATGAACGTCTCCCTCTAAGAATGGCAATGCTTCCAATTAAGGCTACACACACACACCGTCCCCTTCAGTCCACGTCACCCTTATATCTGGTAACCTTAGCTTGTAGTCGCTGTGCTTTCTGTTCAGCAACTTTCTCAGCTCTCCTAGAATGGGGGGGGGGGTGCTACCCAAAGACTATGAATCTGTTAACCCTCTCTCTTCCAGTGTTTCTCCTCTTAGCTGCTCTTCATCCAGTATTTCCCAGCTTTTCCCTTCTGAACTATGCCCCTCAGCAAACCACTGTTCTAAATCTGTACTGTCCTCCTGCTCCTGGGGAGATTCAGGGTCAGGGGGAGGAGGTGATTCACACCACACCTCCTCTTTGTAGCCCAGTCCCTGACAGTCCCGTTTGCGGAGCATGAAGTGATGAGAAGAGTGGCTCAACCATGGAAGCCCTAAGTTATCTACAGCAATGCACACATTTGACTAGACTTAACTGTCCGGGGGTCCTTTACCTTTTACCTATGAGTGAGGGAGAAGTTGCTCCTGTCTTATTCCCATTCATTGGCACCCCAAGTGCAGCAGGGAGCAGGTCAATTGTCGGATCAAAGTCTTAGCTTGTACCCTACTGATTTGAGAATTGAAGATCTGGGGAGAAACAGTACAGCGGTACCTCGGGTTAAGAACTTAATTCGTTCTGGAGGTCCGTTCTTAACCTGAAACTGTTCTTAACCTGAAGCACCATTTTAGATAATGGGGCCTCCCGCTGCCACCGCGTGATTTCTGTTCTCATACTGAAGCCAAGTTCTTAACCCGAGGTACTTAACTCGAGTCTGGGGAAGAGCCCACCCGTTGGTCGGAGCACCACAGCGGGCTCTTCTTCTGCAGGCGACTCTCCACCCCAACCCCCTGCCCTCCTGCCCAGTGTCTGACGGCGGAGTCGTCGTCAAAGTCTTAAGGTGCTGCAGTGCCGTAGGACCAAAGCAAGTGGGCGCTCCAGGTCAAGCTGCCCATGGAAGAAGGCTTGCCACTTGGGTGCCCGGCGGCCGCCAGCCTTAACTTTCCTCCTTGCCTTTCTCTGCCTCCCCAATTTTAGACACCTTGCTGAATACAGAGGGCCATACGTGAGTTGGGAGGGCAACACAGGCGACAAAGAAATCGGCTTGGCAGAGTCCCTGGCCATTTTATTTGCTTTGTAACCCCCTCCCTGTCGCCAACACCTAGCATCCGACTGAGTTTCGGCCACAGCAGTTCCGTCCGATAGGCGGGGGAGGGCACCGGGCGGCTTTTTGCACCCTGGCACTGCATCTTCTTCTTCCTTGGTGGTCACTCATAGCCGAGTAAGATTGTCTTTCATAAACACGGTTTTAACAATGAGTCCGTAAGTGACTGTGGAGGCCAATTCTGGAGCCACACGTCCTTCCACAGCGGGGACATAGGTTCCCGGGTGGGAGTCGATCACG